AGAATTTCGACTTATCAGGATTCGAGTTAACGAGTTTTCACTGTATATATAACGTGATGTCCCGCGTTGGCCATATGAATAGGAATGAAGGAGTGTGCAACTGATAGCCAACTAAAATGAAAGATGTATTTAAATGATTAAAAATGATTAAAACAGTAAAATGAAGTGCAACTCAAACATTTTTCAACCTGCCATTGCAATTCCACATGGGCAACATTCGTGATTCTGTAGATGTCTAAGCGATGTTTGAGCTCTTACCACACCTTTTGCGAAGTGTTAGGCATAACTATCAGGACAGCTCGGATGATTTTGTTCTTTGGATCTTGATCAATTGTCTACTTTTCTCCAGTAAGCAATGTCCTTGACATAACCCACAAGAAAAAGTCCTCTAGGGTTAGTTCAGGTAAACTTGGTGGCCATGGAATGAACCTGCTTTGTCCAATTCACAGATCTGTTTTCTTTTCGATGCCTTAGCTTGCTAAAATATGGAGTTGCAACATCTTAGAAAATTAGACTTTTATTGTGTCTGAACCCATCCCTCTTGGATTTTTTACTATTATGGGGCTGTCAAGGACATTGTCAACTTTTCTTGAGTAAGCAATCTTCAATCTGATCTGAAGAACAGAATTGATGCAGCTATCCTGACAGTTATACATGACACTTGGCATAAGTTGTGGTAAGAGCTTGAACATCATTTGGACAAATACAGAGCCACAAATAGTCCCCATGTGGAATTGCAATAACAGGTTGAAAAATGCTTTAGTTGCACCTCATTTTACTGTTTTCATAATTTTATTTGAGGCATAATTTAGTGAGATATTAATTTTTTAAATGTTTCCATACCTTTTAGGACACCCTGTATATCTAATGCTCAAATTACCGTGACCTCTCACCTGAGTGGTGTAGTGTGTCTGTACAGGCATAGCCTGCTGTTAAAGATCTTGCAGCCTTACTGACTGAAAGTTAAGGTTCAAAATCTAAGTTGCAGCTTTTGATCTTTTGTTTCATGAAAGGTCTATCATGGTCTTGGCCAATAGTCTGCATTATAGCATCAAATTATTCTTAGAGTCTGTGATCAAGGGGTAAGTAAAAGTTACTTGGATTATGCCTAGGTCTGTGCCTAAAAAATTAATCTAGTTACAAAGAACTTCCATGAGCAAGGCAGAGGCTTTTCTTATGACAGGAACAGGAATAAATACTTATACCAGAAACTCCAGTTCTGGGTGCTATGTGTTGCATTCCTCATTATTCAGAGTACTTATGGAGCTAACAAGTCACAGAATTTATCTCTGAAACATGACTGATAACTGTTTAATGTTCCAACACATGCAATCTGTATGGTAAAGTCTATCGTAAAGATAAGATGTTGACTGGTCAACGTGGTCATTTATGATCATGTATAGTCATAAGGCCTAACCTCTTACAGAACTCATTGACCATTATTTGTCCATAAACGGTCATAAATAACCATGGAGACCTTTCAACTTCCCATTCCTAGTCTTTCACTTGTGAGTCATGACATACAAATAGAGCACAAACTGTGCAGGAAAAATAAAAAAAAATTAAAGTTGGCCTTATTGGCCATAATTGACCATATTTGACAATATTGATCGGTCAATTGGCATGTTTTCAATTGACTGGTCAATAACCCATCCCTAATGGGGTGCAAGTAATACATAACCTTCCATTATTGGATGTCTATACAGGGTGACCCCTAGGTGGAGATCTGAGCATGCACTTTCTTCATACATGACCAGCCTAGCCTGGTCCTCAGGTTTAAAACCTACAATCTTCTGGTCATGGAGGTGCCAAAAGTATTGTGCCCATACCTTGGTCAAACATTTTTCAATAATGATGGCATATATTTTGCAATAAATTTGATTTCTTTCTCTGTAATCTTTTTGCTTCCAGGCTTTTAACAAGCCTTTAAATGAAGACCCAATTCAGGAGAAGCTGAATCTCCTGGACAGAAAGCATGTAGCAGATTTCAAGCTGGGAGATAGGTGGACTTACTTATGCATTACTTCAATGCTGCTCTCGCTTATGATTTCAATATCATCACTATCTGTGTGACCTCCAGGGGCTCGAGCAGTTGATGAACTGTCTGTTTCACTCTGAGATGATCCACTTCTTTCTGAAATCAAACATAACACAATTTAGTCCATATTAGAACATTTCTTTTTTCCCCTTGAAACTGTCTGGCACACAATTAAGGGATTCCTGTTGAACATCAAATAAATTCCTGTTGAGCACTGTGGGCCCAGAGCACCAGTTTGCAGACCAATGGGGAAGAATCGATGACGTGTCCAGTAACGTGAAAATAAATGTTTGACCAGCACATAGAACCGTAAGTTAATTATGCAACTGCTCCTAGATCATATGTTCACCAAAACATCTCTATTTTAAACAAGGATGAAATTATTCACTTCTTATCGCAGTACACAGAAGTATTGGTATGATTTCAGATCAACATCAATTATGCGCTCAATTAGGTGAATTGTGGTTCGATTAAACACCCGTGGTGCAAGATATGTGAGGCGACAGTGAGGATCCTGTTAGGAATCTGCTATAGGCCGTGAAATACTCACACAGAATGACACTACTCTTATTCGTTAATGAGTAACATCAACGAGAAGTCTAAGGAGGTTTTGATCCTTAGTAAAGAGTTTTACTGTTTTAAATTGGTCAGTGGGGTGCACGCCAGTTTCTCGATGTGATCTATGACGCTCTCCGAGTGCAGGAAGTTCAAGAACCGATCTGATATGCCGCTTTAATGGATTTAGTCATTGCAACGGATGACAACCTGACGCTCGATGTTACGGCGAAGGATTCGTACGAATATAGGAAAACAGATTTCAGTAGGCTACGAAAATGCGTCTTGATCGGAAAAGGAGGTTACTTGGACAAACGGTAGAGGCGCAATGGGGGATATTCAAGACAGTTCTGCAAGGTTATATACAGAGATTTACTTCACTAAGAAGTCAAAAATATTGCTAAGACAGACGGTCTGGTTTACAGGTAAAATTAAGATGTTGATAAGAAGTTGAAATGGAATTTGCATAGGTACACGGGTGACTGAGCGGAATACGAGAAATATTTTATTATTACGAGATCTGCAGTGCAGAAATTCTATGAACAAAAGGGAGAGCGTGGAGGGGCAAGATCTCGGCAAACAAGAATGATAAGTCTTTTGATCGACATGCCAGCGGCAGGAGTCTGCATCTGATCGGACCCCTCAAGGGGCAAAATAATTTCGGACAATGGAGGCATGGCTGGATTTCAACCAAGTTCTTTACTTCTGTGCTTCGGAGCAATTCATGCCATGTCCCATATATAACTTTTTCCTTTAAATACTGCCAATTTTTTTTCCTTCATAGACTAATATATAAATACTGAATTTTTTTTTTTACCAAACCTCCCCAAAACTTCCCCTGCACTATTTTAGAGGGAACCTCTTTCAAAAGATATCAAATTTCCTATTTTTACCAGGATGCAGCCATGCCCTGGCATTGAACGAACATGGTCAACCTTTAACTTTTTCAAAGCTCCAGGCATGATAACTTCTGATTACAAAAAGGTATCATAATAAAACCAAAAAGAAAAAATTTTCCTAAGTGGTAGTTTTTTGTTCCTAATTATCACTCTCGTCTGTATCTTTCTCGCTAAAAGTTGAAAGGTAGCAAAGATCAACTATTTCTGGAAAAAGATTGACCTTAACTGCCCCTGCAGGCCCACTAATTGCAGGTACTTTGGATATTTCTGCACCCACCTTTCCAGTACTAGGTAATAAAAGCACACACAAAAAAATAAGTTCAGTACTTAGCTGTTACTAAGAGATATGAAGTTACAGCCTAGTGCCATATTTGACTATATATCTGTCAAAAAAAAAAAAAATATATATATATATATATTTTTATTTGGTGAACAATGACTAATGAAAAATAAGTATTTGCAGCTTTCTGATTCTGAATAAGTCAACTACCACTGAACCCAAAAACGTCTCCATAAATATGATAGGAAATGCCTCTTAAATTCTCTCCATAGTGAATGGGTTAAACATCCATCAATATACAGGGTGTTCATATTTAAATGCAACATAGAAAATATTTTGCCTCCTGCAAGTGGAGTTTGGCTAACATTACAAGGATCACTGCTTTGCATATCTGCATGGAAACACAACAACACACTAGTGATTGTTTTTATCCTTACAGATATGCAACCTGCTGAGTTTTAGAGATTCACTGAATTCCACAAAAGGCAGTTAAATTTTCCCTATGTTGCGTATAAATATGAACACCCTGTACACTAGGCCCATGAGGCACATTCCCAAATTTACAAGCCCGTGGATGGAACAGCATCAAGGATACTGGTGAGAAATTAGTGGATGTTGGATCCAATTAGTGTAGATGCATTTCAAAATTTGAATTTGAATTCTCAGCTCTAAACACTGATAGAGGTTTTTTTCCATGCAATGTCAAAGATTGGGTATCCATAAAGGCACTTTTTGACATTATTTTTCATGGAATATTGAAAATTGGCAAAGACCAATGAAATCATTCCTGGATGTATTCCAGTATATGTGACTTCCTGAGCCATTTTTTTTCCTTCAAAATTACATAATGTGCTTCCATGTAAAATGCTATATATATCAGGAATTTCACCTAAAACTAACACTTTTAATGAAAATGTGAGCTTTATCTGCCTCAAAACCTGCAGAGAGCATATTCCAAACTAATTCACTTTTGACAGCAACATAAAGACTATAGTGAACTATAAAAGAACTTAAACTATATTTGAAGTTGCACAAACACATATTTTCCCATTCAGGGAATGCTGGGACTATGACTGAACTATAATTTATGTTAATTTCTCATTGCAGTAAATAATAGAAGCCAAACAACCCAGATGTGAAACAGGAATACCTTATGATATCCTAAAGATTTGAACTAAGTTTCAGTCATAGAATAAGTGTTATACATAAAAACTTAACTTGCTGAATATCCAAGGAAATGGAGGAAGAGGAAGTCTCACAGATAACACCAGTTTCATTTTCCCTCCAACCACTTCAACATTGTACTATTTTTGAATGCTTAACTGTGAAGCCATGCCAAGATATCTCTGAGGGCAACTTAGCTACTTTGTTCAGTCAATGTTGGTTAATTAGGACGTATGCTTGAGTATGAATCCCAATTACCTGACAACAATCAAAAGTTTCAAAAACTAGTAAAATAGATTAGGAAACTTCTGTTCAAGATTTAAATGGTTTACAGTGTATATACTTAAAACATCTGCTGTTTTTAGCTTGACCATGAAGCTGAATTCAATAGACATTTTCTTTTCTTGACCATTGCTGTCCTACAGCAGAACCAGAATCAGAGATGGGACCAAAATCACTTTTTATGAGACACCCATCCTTAGCAAGTGTGTAAGTGTCTGTGCAAACCCTGGATACTTATTTCATTATTTATGGGACTTCTATCTACCATTTATGGGACCTCCTCCCACAGTCCAGTTGGGTTGGTAGACACAGACATTTTCCCATTTGATATTATGCAAAAAAAATCTGCTTTTCGGGCTCTGAATGACCAACTTCATTACAACTATTGGAAAACCACCTACCAACGTTGGATGTAACACAATGATAAATGTCCCTACCTTCACTGGCAGAACGAAGAGAAACAGGCTGACAAGATTGAGATTTCTTTTTTTCCCGAGAAGCAGGAGTTGGGACTTCTGGCACTGATACTACAAAGTCACTCTTGCAGTTAGGACACTGCATCACCTTCTGCAAGCCTAAAAGGATGCACAAGATTGATAATAACACTTTTGGAGTCCACTGCCTACATGGATATTATATGTTGTTGATGCATTCAAACCCCCAACTTGAAACTTGCACACTTTATTATTATCAAATTGATTGTGAGCAAAAATGCAGTTTTTGATTCTTTCATGCATTCCCAATGCCTTGGGATGAAACTTTCACTGTATCAAAGATTTCCTTGCATATCTTACTTCTGTGACCATCAAAACTTAGGCATTATAAATTTCAGGGTCACTGGTTTGAACTCATTGGAGAGCTTTAGTTACACCAAATATCAAGATCACTCCACTCCTTGCTCATGCTTTTTTTGGCAACCAGTATACTGGGTCCGCTCAAAGTTCTGGAACATCAATATTCTTTTTTGTTTGCTTGGTTGCATGAGTGAAGGAAAAATGTTCCCACATATTTTTTAGTTTGTTTACTCTGTTGGCTCATAAAAAACAAAATATTGGATTTCCCTTCTGGAAATGGAGGCCAAAAGAGAGCCAGTTCTGCAGCTGCACAATGCTGGAAAGCATCCTGGTGAGATTGTAAAGGAACTTAGGGGCTTCGCCATCAACAGGAAATTTGTCTGGAGGACCCTGAAACGATTCAGTGAGACAGGCTCAGCTGCTGACTGTCCGAGGAATGGCAGTCCATCAGAGACAAGATCTGTTGGAATCCACAGAGGAGCATGGCCCAGATGGCCAAGGAGTCTGGCATGGGTGCTACGACAATGAGGAAATTGGTCCGATACAACCTCAAGATGCAGCCCTTCACCCTCCAGAAATGACAGGTCTTGTCTGAGAACACAAAGGCCAAGAGGCTTGCCTGTGCAAGGAAATGTTAAAAAAGCTAAAAAAAAAAGGTGACCTGAAGGACATCCTCTTCATGGATGGCAAGATGTTCACCATCCAGAGCATCCACAACTGCCACAATGACAGGGATCTGGCCAAGGACATCAAACAGGTCCCCACAGAACTGAAAACAGCTTTCCAGAGGCAACATCTGGGATCTGTCATGGTCTGGGCTGGCATCTCTGCCTCTGGCAAGACCCCTCTTGTGTTTGCAGCCCCCTGGAGTCAAGGTCAATAAGGATTTCTACATCAAACACATCCTGGAGGATGTGGTCACCCCTGGGCCAAGAAGAAGTTTGGCAAGAAGCCCTGGACCTTCATGCAAGATGGTGCCCCAGCCCACACTGCCAAGGCTATTCAGGATTGGCTGAAAAAGCAATATTTTGGATTTCTGAGCAAGGAGTGGCCCCCCTCTTCCCCCGATATGAACCCCATGGACTACCCTGTATTTTGCGTGGACCTACTCGGAGACCAAGGCCAGTAACATCAACCACTCCAATCTGGACTCTCCCAAGTCAGCCCTGACCAAGGAGAGGGCCAAAATGCCTATGGATTGTGTTCACCTCAGCCAATGCCTTCAAAGGACCTCTCCAGTATGTCATCAAGGCTAGTGGAGGCCATATTGAATAATTTTTTGTCCACGCACCCTGATATGTAATAAACATCTTTGGAAATTTGAACTTGATTCCTCTAATACTTCCTGAGTAAATCCAAATTTACCATGCTCCAGAACTTATAGCTGACCCTGTATGCGAGTCACTACTGTCTGAAAAACTCCACAGCAGCATTCTGTCATCTGTGACCCAGGTGACATATCATATCAACAACCATAGAAAATTTTTGTTCCATAACTGTTTGCTGATTTTTCTGTAATAAATACTCATCAGTATCATCTGTACCAGGTCAGTATTGATTGCTCCCAAAATGCTGGAAGAATGCTGAACTGGAACAATGCCTAAAGAAAAACTGAACAACAGGATGATTATAAAGAAAGTACCCTACTTTAGAGGACTATAGTGCCTGAACTAGGCATAGGTTGATACCATTGCATACACATGACAAATTACACATGGAGAATCAATTACATTTATCAAATCCTTGCCACAGAGAGCACAGCCGTTCTATAATTTGTAGCACCTACCAAATCACAGGGCTGCCACTAAAGCATAATTTGCATTGATGGCATGGATTTTGAGTAGGAAAGCTTCAGTGTCTGTCCTCTCTGTAACTCATGATGACCTTCATGATGCATATTGATATGTATAGCAGTATCAGAAGCCTATTAAGGCCTATACAAAATTTTCCTTCACATTCCTGGATAATAAGAAAACTATGCAATAGTGGCACCCCCAAAGCAAGGTTTGGATTGCATGAATGAAAACTTAACCCCATAAAAATTATCAGGATATAAAGAACACACATCATGACTCTGGTTTATACTTTCTTTAGATCAGTGAAATCAAGCTTAGACTTAAGCATCTTCTGCAAGGTTCATAATCTTCTTTGGAAAGGAGTGCATATACAACATACAAACCATGCTATAATTCTGTATCGTAGTTCCAGTATGATGCATTGTAGTATAAGTGGCACTTAGCATCCAATGTTGCTATCTGAATCTAAAATTCCTCTCACAAATTCCCTTCTTGCCAACAAATTCAGCAAAGTTTGCTTTAAGTCCTGAACTTACCTTTAGAGTTGGGATGGTGGAGATGGTTGGGAGGATCTCCAATGTTCAATTTATATGTGACATGAGCCATTGCCTGAGAGAAGAGACTAGAACATTTGAAGCACTGCAGGACATTCTCCATTACTGTCTTCTCCAAGTGCTTTTCCAACTGTGGTCTCAGTCTCTCCAGTAAACCCTGTTGAACACATCCCAAAAAATAATAAAGGAAATCACACTCTCAGTATAGGATACATTTTGGCCTCCCAAGAGAATGAAACCTTAGAGTCTTCATCTTCCATGGAATATGCCCGCTCTTCAACACGTCGAAAGGTGACAAACGTGATCTTCAAGAGTCCTGGAGATGGTATGGAGGCATCAATGATACTCTCAAGCCCCCATTTCCCCAGAGTCTTGCCACTGATATCTTTCTCACTAACATGTTTCTCTCCAACCATAACTAATCGCTCTTCCCCTTTATCCAAGTCAAATCCCATAAATACCTCTCCATCTTCTTCATGAATATCAGGATCTGAAAAGTCACAATATCAGTACGCATGGAAGAGAAATGCCATCATCAAGTTCACTTCACAATGAGTCTGGGATGATACTTCAGGTTCCACACTCTCAAATGAGAAGGGTTGTTACAACATAGTCAGCAATAATAGAGATCATGAACACAAAAAAACTAGAAGGTATAAAACATCAACATGGAATTATGTTCATGCAAAACACCAATGATATCATCCAGATGATTGTTTCAGGAAAAGCAAATAATCACCTGAATGAATGACAAAAAGTCCCTGAAATTTTTTGTTTTCTCTTAAAACAAATTGAACTTTTTGTTTCCTCTGCACCTGTCCCTTAATATTCATTTTGATGCCAGTCTCTGGGAGTGTGGTACTTAGGTACAAGACTTGGAAGATTCATGATTCATTGCTGACATCATTTTGTTTGTGCAAAATTTATTTTCTAGCCTCTGGAGAACAATAAAAATTTAGAATAATGCACCAAAATAGAAAGGATGATGTAGTTTAAAGACCTTTGATGTAGGATGATAAAAAAAAAAGAGAGGACCAGAGACAATGTATAAGTCTTGCAAATGAAAGTAAAGCTAACAAATATGAAAATGATTAAGTTAATCAGGTGTTAAGACAAGTAAAAGAAGGATGAGGACCATGACAGTCTCAGAAGGGAGACCAGCAGTCAAACCCTTATTAACCTGATTTATATTTTCTGTCAGCAACAATGAGTTACTTCTTCATCCTACCACCAGTAAGACTCCACACAATTGGTTCTGAACAGTTACAGCTCAAAATACAATCAATGATGAATATGTGTCCAGCAAAACCAATCCATTTTATGGAAAACAAAATGTCTCTTACTGTTTTATTTCACATGTGTACAATAACATGGCTATGCCAAGTTAAAAAGGGTTAATCAGCTATAAGAATTTCTCTCCCCTAATGCATCCCTAGATTAAAGGGCATTGGGAAGGAAGTGAAATAACTTCTCTGCGTTTATTATGAATGCATCAACCATCCAAGGTAGAAGATACTTAGCTTTTTCCTCTCTCATAGATCTTGACCTCCACATTCACAAAAACATGCTTCAATTGGTTTCCCTTAACCCCTTCCCTTTGTAAGGTATATTATGCCCCAAAATATCCATTCAGTTTTCAGGTTGTGTAGGCCTTAATATTATGCTCAGAATGAGGGAGATTGTGGAGTTTGAGAGTGATGGTTCTCAAAGCTTTAGGGAAATACAAGAACAGCTTTCATGAACATTTCAGGACAGAAATGGGAATTTTCATCCCAAAAAAAGAAGAAAACACAGTCAAAGAAGGATTAATGAAAAAAAATTACACAGTTTAGGGGTTAATGTCAAGGCAAAGAAATGTGCTTGAGCTCATGCTGTCATGCAGGCATTTGACTGGAAGATCCTTTGACAGTGACAGTAAAAATGTTAATTAGATCTCATTTAAAAAAATAAGGCAAGATGCACCACTACTTGATGCTAATGTCTATAAATCAAAACAGGACAAGAAAGACATGCAGAACTTGTCTCTAATTCTGATTTGCACAAAAACTTCCTCAGTCCAATCTTTTTTAATTATAGGACAGTGGTAAGTGTCCTCTTTCCCTTATAGTAAGATACCATCTCCAAGTACAAGGTGTCCATAAAGTGCCTATCTATTATCAACTTTTTTCAAACTTAATATGGGGGAATTCCCTTTTACATATTTCTAGCCTGTTTATCAATAGATATTGGAATGGTGTCACATCTTTTCTTTCTCTACTCTGATGTGGCTGAGAATTAATTTTCCATACTTCGTTTCAATTACAGGTGCAGAAATATGGAGTACAGCACTCTGAAACGAGTGAAAGGAATGCATTGTTTACAAGGACAAGCCAACAGATCTGAAGAACTTGAAAGAGTTTGTGCTGTTTGCCTGGTACATGACAGAATTCTAGCAATTTTTTCAACAATGCAATAGTCTTGGCTTAGAAATGCTTGGAAATCTGAGGTCAACACATTCAAACATTTGTCAAGTAAATTCCCAATTGTTGTGAATTAAAATCACTAAGTACTCCATTATTTAATCAATACCATGACCATTATCAGAAACTGGTGCAATAAGGTCAAATGACAAATTCGTATTTGAATTTTACTCTCAATTTATTTTCCATTCAAATGAATAAAAAAAATTCTGAACCATCAGATCTGAAAAATGTATTATTGGTCATTACAAAGTGGAAGGAGGAAAGACTTGACACTCTTCTGAGGTCAGTATATTGTCAGTCTACAATCATGTAAAAAATGGCTACTTCAGCATCAAAATAAAAATGTTTCCATAGGTAGTCACTTCATGGACACCCTGCAAAATCCTTCAAGAAGTCCTATTGCCATCACTAGATTGTAATGCATTGCATTTCCAGCTCTGTTCTTCAAATTATACATATTTTGGTGCATTTCAGGAAATACCAAATCATCTCACTGAAAATTAGATGCTTATAAAATGTATTTTATGCTTCTGAATCTGGTCATGTGAACATACATCATTAGATGAGAATATAATAAAACAATGCTTTAGCAATCTTTTACTTTTAAATTAGGGAACTTTCTCAAAGCAATATTTATAAACTTTCCCAATTTAGACAGTTTATTTTTGGTTCTTCCCATTTTTTTAAATATTTGTGCAATTGGAATGGAAATATAAGTGTTTTTTTTTCTGAATGATTCCAAAGTCTGCCTTGAGGAGGAAAAATAAATCAAGCATATTTTGTGAATACAACAAAAGTTCCTTCAAGTTCAGACCTTTGGGAAACTGTCAATATTCTTCAAAAGATGTAAAACAACTTGGTCAAATGTTGCGATTTAATATTCTTACAGGGCATTTTGTTGTGACCTTCATCTTCAGTTTCTGAATGAATCCCTTCATCCTTGGAGTCACCATCTGCATTGGTATCCAGATTCTCCTGTACTGATGATTCTCTTCTTGAAATCCCCAATATGTCTTCAATCTTTTTCACAATGGCAACATGAAATCTCATCATGAAATTATGTAGTACTCAATAAGATGAAATACTGCATGTACATAAAATTGAGTGCTATTCTAGAGAATCAACCAATGAAGCAATGTTTGCCTGAAGTAAATCCCTACATAGGCCTGGGGGAGGACAAGGACTCTATTCAATATGAAGTTCTGATATACTCTGTGCTCATTAACCCTTGAGGCAATTACTCTGAATTTAAGTTCAGTTCAGGAATTGGTAAGCTTGATCTAGGTTTAGGTATTAAAAAGCATCTGTTTTTTCAATGGTAATCAAAGTCCCATTCATAGTAGGTAATTATATTGAATAAATAGTGCATAAAATGAATACTTACTATGATGGCTAACCCCCCTGATAGCTTTATACGCACTATGAGAATGAAATATGGCCAAAAAAAATGGGCACAGAAGGGTAGCTGTAGCACAGCTGAATCTACCACTTCAATACAGGTGACCCATTTGTATAAATAACCAATGAATGGCAGTCTCCTGTGATATGTATTGGACAGAACTATTAAAAAAAAGTTTTGGATGCAGAGAAGGATACAAGCACTGCTCATACCCGTGTGACAAAAAGTACCATGGAGTCAGGATGCCAGGGTATACTATGAGACCAACCAACAGTACAAAGTAATAGCAGTGCTCCATGAGGCACACAGTGCAGCAGGAGTGAGTACCATATTAAAGCTCTAGACTAGATTTGGATCTATACAGTAAAGGTACTGTGGATCCAGTAAGGTGACAGTTGGAGAGTGTTTCTCATCGTCATGTGGATGGTCCACCTCAGTTGACCAGTGAAGTGCAGTACTTCCCTGGTGCTGATTGCACCAAGGTGGGATTCAGGTGCTACTTCTTGAAAAGTATTTTGTACCTGTAATACCATTCCCACCACTACTACCAAGGCATCCACACTTTTGGCTGTTGGGTACATAGCTGGTGCATCTGAATTTCTGCACCATGGTTAGAAGCACTTCTCTGACACGTGGGCTATGCAGGAGGATGTGTCTGCAATGTAGCCTTGGCATTCCTGCCATTTTCATAATATTTCTCAATTAGCTCAATTCTAGCCTGGAATGTTTTAATGATGGTCACTCCTATCACAGTGTGCCTCTGGCAGGACTACCATCATGTTTATAATTGCATAGTTGTCATGCCAGCCTTATTTCAATTGTTAAGTCATTCATATTGGTATGCATAGTAATCACCCCAAGGGATGAAACTTCAGATTTCAAGATATCCTGCATTCACACAACACCCATGACAAAAGTTACAAGTGGGAAAAGCTTTACAAATGTAAAAAATTTGATTATTTTTTACATATCGCATTATCATATCTTTCGTGTCATTACAAAGCTCTTTTTAAAAGCTTACATTTGATCTCTTACTGGAGGTTGTTTAATACTTATGTTAAGAGTTAGAAATGTTCTATATTGCATCACTTCAGCCATTTTGTTAAAAATTTTGACATATGATACCTCTGGAATGATTTGACCAAGGAGAATACAATTTTGGATTTTTTAATTATCAACAATGCCAGCCAGTATGAATTTTTAAATTACAATTCACGACAGTGCTAAGTTCAGTTGTTAAAGAGTTAATAGAAAAAATGTTAAGGGTAGGATGATTTTGATTCGAAATGTCACCTTTCATCTGTAAAGGCTTGTACAAACGTTTCACTCTGTCTACTATCATGGGTAATATCAACATTTTAAATGCACATCAGAATGGGCTATTGTAGCTCTGTACCTAACAGGGTAAACATGCAAGGCAGGCATTACAGGTGGGACAGTTATGCTTGACATTTATGGATAAGAGCAAAGAAACAATTAACTTCAAAACTATTGCAGAATTACAATAGTTCCAACTATCTACAATTCCTGTAAGGATGATGACATCTTCAGGTGGCAAAGATCAGCTCACCATTTTCAATTAGTCTATTGATGACACTATCATTATGGGTGGGAAAGAAATAAGGGCCAATTCTGAAGACAAAAATGAACTTTGACAAAGCTAGAAAGGCACTGTCTCTAATAGCAGTTGGAGTGCATTCTGAAAATGATTATTTTGTTTGTACTGTTGTGCCATCATGTTTAGGAAAAATCGAAGTATATGTATTTGTTTGGCAGAAGAATGCTCTGAGTGTACCAAGGTAAAGACACTTTACAGGTGGGACAAAATCAATTTTCTCTGCTACATGTTCCCCAGAAAATAGCTTCAAACACTACCAATATATGCTAAAAGAATGTGCACTGATGTGGCTTTTTATGTTTCATGTATTTTGTCAAGATCAGTTCATTGCTCTCAGAATGATGGCATTTTAAAGTCTGAAGACATGCAATTGCTCCAGTTGGGTCTGATTCTCCCTGCTGGTGCTTCAATAACTCCAGAAACAACTACCCTTACAGATACAAAATATTTACAATACCTTTGATCCAGCTTGGCTATGGAGCCATGTATTTGTTCCATATTTTCTTCTCAGCTCTTCAAGTTTTTCCCTTGTTTCCAAGTGTTCTCCTGCAAAGAAACACAGAAATATAATTTTTCCCATTTTATTCCAAAAAGACATTTGTACAGTTTAATGCTTCCCAAAAAAAAAAAGCATGAGGGTCTCTCTTGGGTTTCTCAGACAGGTTTGTTGTTAAAACCCATTGGTCAAAGGTTTTATTTATACTTAGCATTATTCCCAACATAGCTTTATAAGTTTTTATAACAGGGGTTTGGAACTGTATTTGAAATATTCCATTTCAAAATAACATAACATCTTGAATAAAGTTCCATTCCATTTTTGGCAAAGCCAAACTCAATACAGTTGAAAACTTAGTGCATGCTCTCCGGTTAAGTCAATGTGACCTTAATCTGATTGTTAAAAAAGAATTGTTTTTATTAAATCCAGACTAAACGTTTCTTTTTCGTCGCCAAAACCCTTTCCTTTCCGATGATCTTGGGCCTCCTCATTGAAACATAAGGCCTCCACTTCATGAATAATTTAAGACATCAAGAAACTTCTTTATTAAAAAAGCTAGTTCTAAATGTGTCTTTTTGTACATATAATGCAAATTTACAGTGCAGGCACCACATTTAAAATGTTTCTGATTTTGAAAAGCTTCACTGGTAAGGACTAAATCACTCGATGGAAGACTTCTTGATGTATTTGGCCAACCTTGACTCTCTCTCTGTGGACAGCACAGGCAAATGACCCTATATTGACTTCCTGAGGGGCCTAGCACCATTAGTTTCAGTAGATAGGGTACTTTTTGGGACCCCAAACCTTTTGACAGCAAGTCCAATCAACAGACTACCATTGCATATCCCATTAAGTGTGCTATGCAAGTCATAATCTGCATTTTGATTTGAGCATTTGTTATGGATGTTGGAAAACATGGAAAATACAAGATTTGATTGAAAAACTTTTTCTTAGGCCCTGGGCCTACTTCCCCACAAACATGAAAATGACTTATGGGTCTAGGTTGTGAACACTTCAAGAAGCAGTCATCTTCAGACTGGAGCTTTTTCTATTTGTGGGCACCATATTGGGTACTGGCTGATATGCTTGCAGTACATATAAGTTCTCAGTATTTTTTCCCCTCCATGAGATGGATTGATGGGTATATCCAGTGAGGAAAAAAATCAGAGCTAATATGAAACTCGTATTTATGTGCAATAAAAGTAATGAAATATTATGAACTTATGTGTATTTAGAAAATGTCTGCCTCCACCCTAAAGAAAGTCCTCCACAAGCTGGAGGAAGGGTCCCTCTTCATGGACACCCCTCTTTCATTATTTTAGAGGATGTTTATTATCCATATATGGATAGAAATATGAATTAGGAACTTCTAGCAACATTTTTGAACATCATACTCAAAGCTCATATCAATTCTTGGGCAACAATCAACTATGGAAAGGGTTTGCATCCATTAAGAAGTCACTGGACATATAAGGAATTCAGGGGTGTTACAAACAAAGCAAAAATGTCTAAGTTGACTCATGCTTATATGCATGCATAATTTATACAGTGGTTGACTGGCATGCGCATAACAGGGAGCAGTCATGATTATGAATTTCCTGCATATATTTTTTTAGATGACAGAAAACTTGAAATTTCCCACAAATAGGCACCTGCCCACGAACTGGTGTCTTTACCCTTGTTGAACTTGGAGAGGGAAACACATGCCATCTCCATGGCATGGCATGGCATGTGACAGGAAACATTTCAGGAGTGGAGATAATGGGATTAAGATAGATGGGGAGCAAGACCAATAATTAGGACAAGGAGTGGGAAAGGAAGGTATGGAATTTTGATTATTCAGGAGCAAATGTCTCAATTTTTCCCTTTCCATGTGGACTACCCTTGATCACACTATGCAGCCAGTATGATAACATTAGCAGATCACCATGGATAATGGAACTTTTAGATCAGTTCAGGAGCCCAAGCTGGGTAAACCCTTTTCAATTTCCTAGATGCTTCCACAAACTACTGCACTAAATGGATGCATCCATATTTTTCTAGTGCATTCTCAATGTAACTTTTGACCTCATGGCAGTCCCAAATTGAAATTCAGAGTATCCAAATAAGAAAAGTTATCAATGTCATGATAATTGTTTGGAAAAAATGTCAATGACATTTTCTCAGAAGTTAAAGGTTAAAGCCTGCTGCACACGAGGCAATTTTTGTTGCATGATGTGGTCATGTGCCCCAAGGAGCACACATGGAAGAATCTGCAAGCAATGTGATTGGTCAATGCTAGAATTAGGGTCTGCCTACATAGCAGCAACATCACAGGACCCTCGCACACTGAGCAATATCATGTGGAGCGATGATCACACGACAGTTGCACAACAAAAATTGCCTGATGAGTGGCAGGCTTGAAAGTCAAAATCTTTTGACACCTGACCTTAATTATCATACATACTCCATGAAAGACACATAATACTGTATAAAAGGGCATTAAAAGAGTTTGAAAATGACACTAATTTTATTTCTCTCTGTTAAATATGAAAAAACTTATGGGCACTTATGTGATCACCACCAAACCAGAAATTGACACTTTTGGAAAATATTATCTTGGCACTATAAAAAGTACTTCACACAGAAAGCTGAAATTTAGCATGAACTAGTTTTTCAAAGAACCTTTATGCCCCCAAAATGTAATCAAAATTGGAGGGGGTTAGGATTTTTAATTTTGATTTTGTAAAAATAGATGACCTTAACCCTTTCCTTGGATATCCAAACACTTCAAGGATGTTGACGTAAAACTAGGGCCCACCAGGGAGAGGGTTAAAATGATAAGAAATTGTATGGTATGAGGGCCACTCAATAAGTTATCTACCTGAATATGAAAGGGATGAGGGGAAAAATAACACTTT